CCGCGATGTGGATCCTCTTTCTCCTTTTGCTACAACCTACATTCGGGCTACCCTCCCACTCAACAAGTTCGTCAGGGATCACTGGGCACCGTTGTCAACTTGTGGTTGCACAACCAACGACCGTGGGGCCCCCCACCACGCATCTCGGAAACCCTCCATATGCCACAGAACGACTGGCACGACCACCTGGACTGGGCGAAACAACACGCAGTCTCCGTGCAACAACCCATGCCCTGCGACCCCACTGTCCTGTGGGCCATCGAGATGCAGAAGACCATACCACAGCTGCCACAACTTCAAGCCAACGTCCTACGGGACATTGCTGACCTCCGTGACGACCTCGCAGATACGACACAGGCCTGGTTTTCCGACCTTCCTTCCCACTGTCAACGGGCATATCAACAGCCCAAGATGATCACTCAGGTACCGTTGCTGGCACATCTACTACGCATGGTGGCATATCCACAAGCCCACACCCTATACGACGAACTCTCCCGAGGATTCGACCTCTTGGGGCCACTTCGCCCAGGGGTCAACTGGCACATCCGCCAGGACCATAAATACCTCGACCCTTGCGACATGACAGAGCTGAGGTCCTTCAACCATGAATACATCCAACGCAAGCTCCGACAACACAAAGTCGACGACCGCTGGGACTTCATGGCAACCGAGATCGCAACCGAAGTCGCACAAGGACGAATGGCAGGCCCGTACACGGCACCATCACATTGGGAGACCAAGACAGTCACCCTGAACAAGTTCCAACACACCAACAGACTGCTCCCGATCCCACACGCCGACCCAGTTGTCGCCATCGCGTTCAGCATACATCAAACAGGCTCGGACGGACAGTCCAAGATACGCCGAGGAGAAGATTGGCGTCGCAGTGGCCATAACCAGACTTGCTCGATGCACGACCAACCATATCACCACACACCCGATCACTTCACTACATACAGTGCGCCAGGCAGTACACCGACGCCACCCCAGACTCTACACGTGTGGGGGCACGACCATGACGGGCATACCGTCAATTACCTCTTGCACAACCAGACGTCGCCTACGTGCTTCTCTTGACCCCGGACGGTCCGACTCTCTGGCACCACCACGTGCTCCTGTTTGGCTCAGCAGCCAGCGTCTGGGGCTACAACCGGTTCGGCGACGCCCTCACCGCGCTCGCACGTGTTCTGACATTCATACCGGCTCTTCACTATGTCGACGACTATGGAGCTATCCAACCAACACACATCTCGACCAGCTCCTTCTCCTCGTTCAGCGGCCTGAACTACCTGCTGGGGTTCCACATGAAGACATCCAAGGAACAACCCCCAGCTCCGTCACACAAAATACAGGGTGTGTTCATTGACCTTTCGACAACACATGCCACCCTCCGGCCATGCCCGGATCGTGTACGGGCCTTGCTACAGACCCTTTCGCAGTGCCTAGAACAGGGCACCATGACCAACGACGTAGCCAGACGCACCGCTGGCAAATGCAACTTTGTGACCGGTCACCTCTTCGGCCGAGTCGGGCGCTCCGCACTAGCAGCACTGTACCACAAGTCCCACAGCACCTCAGACCGGATCGACAAACCAACACGCGCTGCCATTCTGTGCCTTCTGAACATTTTGCAGCACAGCTCACCCCGCAGCATCACACGGCGCAGCACTACGCGCGACCTGTCGATCATTTACACAGACGCCTTCTGCCGACAAGGCGAGACGGTCTGGAGAGTCAAAGACACCGATGACCCATCGGGCCCACCATCCGATTGGACGTTTGATAACGGGTGGGCAGCAGTGTTGTTCACACCCCACTCCCAACGCACCAGAGTGGTCTCCGGGGCACTGCCCCCCAACCTACTCAGACAGGTCAGTTCAGGCACCAACGCCATATATTTTCTTGAGGCATGGGCTGCCCTCATAGCACCAGTGATCTTCCGACCCTGGACCACGGACACATACCTCCAGTTGTGTGACAACGAAGCAGCCAAACATGCCATCAGACGAGGTGTAGGCAAACACCAACCTTTGAACCGCCTCTTGGGTGCTCATTGGACGTGGCATAACCGACAGCGACTGCTGATGCATATCGCACGTGTACCCACACATGCCAACGTCGCTGATCCTTTCAGCAGACACGACATGTCCATCGCCCAACAAGTAGGCTGGCATGTCCTTGAGCCTCCCATGCACGCTTTGCACAAACGCACGTGCAGAATCATTGGCGACATTGAATTCGCCCACTCTGTCGGATTCGACGACATTCAGGAACTTCACCAGTTCCACCAGGAACATTCTTCCTGAACACGACTCGACTACCATGTGCCGTGAGAGTCTTGTCCCCAGTAAGGACACCTGACCAGCCGTAAGGACTACTTTGCCTTCATCATTTGTCTAGGTCGCTCGCCTTCGGCTTCACCTTCGACGGGAGTTGACCTACGACGGGAGAACGTCCACTCCCTCTCGATACCTGTCTGTACAACATTTTTGTTTGCATGCACTCGCATTTGCTCACCTTATTCAGTTGTACTTTACTTTGAGTCAGTGGTGTCTGAGAGACACCAGAACCGACTCCAGAGAGGAAACGATGATCGACCAACAGGTACGATCCCACCCACTCGAGGCTGTGCGGTGAAAACAGATCGACCGACACTGGTTGCTGTCGATTCCCTCTGGAGCGGTTTGTTGTTGCGGTTAACACTTGTGTTAAAAGTAACAACCGCAAGCGTAAGGGTTCTCACCTGCACTTGAATTGGAATATCAAGTGCTGCGCATCGTTTAGTGATGCGGGTTTATGTGCCGTGGGCCATTTTGGTGAATAGAACCTTTTCATACCCACCCACCCTCACCTTTTCACTGCATGTCTCCAGTACCTGTCGGTCATCGACATCGAATTCAGCATTGATCGAGGGGACGGGAGAACGTCCACTCCCTCTCGATACCTGTCTGTACAACATTTTGGTTTGCATGCACTCGCATTTGCTCACCTTATTTCAGTTGTACTTTACTTTGAGTCAGTGGTGTCTGAGAGACACCAGAACCGACTCCAGAGATGAAATGATGATCGACCAACAGGTACGATCCCACCCACTCGAGGCTGTGCGGTGAAAACAGATCGACCGACGCTGGTTGCTGTCGATTCCCTCTGGAGCGGTTTGTTGTTGGTTGCCTGGTTGGTTGGTTGGTTGGTTGGTTGGTTGGTTGGTTGGTTGGTTGCTTGCTTGCTTGGTTGGTTGGTTGGTTGGTTGGTTGGTTGGTTGGTTGGTTGTTTGGTTGGTTGCCTGGTTGGTTGCCTGGTTGGTTGTCTGGCTGGGTTGCCTGGTTGGTTGTCTGGTTGGTTGTTCGGTTGCCTGGTTGGTTGCCTGGTTGGTTGTCTGGTTGGTTGTTCGGTTGCCTGGTTGGTTGCCTGGTTGGTTGTCTGGCTGGGTTGCCTGGCTGGTTGTCTGGCTGTTTGCTTGTCTGGTTGCCTGGTTGGTTGCCCGGTTGGTTGCCTCAGTGGTTGCTTGGCTGGTTGCCTGGTTGGTTGCCTTGTTGTTGGTTGCCTATTTGATTGGTTGCTTGGTTGGTTGGTTGGTTGGTTGGTTGCTTGGTTGCTTGCTTGTTGTTTGGTCCGTTGCCTGGTTGGTTGCCTTGTTGTTGCTTGCCTGGTTGTTGGTTGCCTGGTTGGTTGGTTGGTTGGTTGGTTGGTTGGTTGGTTGGTTGGTTGGTTGGTTGGTTGGTTGGTTGGTTGGTTGGTTGGTTGGTTGGTTGGTTGGTTGCTTGCTTGGTTGGTTGGTTGGTTGGTTGGTTGGTTGTTTGGTTGGTTGCTTGGTTGTTGCTTGGTTGGTTGCCTGGGTTGCCTGGCTGGTTGTCTGGCTGCTTGCTTGTTTGGTTGCCTGGTTGGTTGCCTGGTTGGTTGTCTGGCTGGGTTGCCTGGCTGGTTGTCTGGCTGTTTGATTGTTTGGTTGCCTGGTTGGTTGCCCGGTTGGTTGCCTCAGTGGTTGCTTGGCTGGTTGCCTGGTTGGTTGCCTTGTTGTTGGTCGCCTATTTGGTTGGTTGCTTGGTTGGTTAGTTGCTTGGTTGCCTGGCTGCCTAGTTTGCTGCCTAGTTGGTTGCCTGGTTGTTGCTTGCCTGGTTGTTGTTGGTTGCCTGGTTGGTTGGTTGGTTGGTTGCCTGGTTGGTTGGTTGCTTAGTTGGTTGCCTGGCTGGTGGCCTGGTTGGCTGTCTGGTTGTGTTGCCTGGCTGGTTGTCTGGCTGGTTGCTTGTTTGGTTGCCTGGCTGCCTAGTTTGCTGCCTAGTTGGTTGCCTGGTTGTCGGTTGCCTGGTTGGTTGGTTGCTTGCTTGGTTGGTTGGTTGGTTGGTTGGTTGGTTGGTTGTTTGGTTGGTTGCTTGGTCGTTGCTTGGTTGGTTGCCTGGTTGGTGGCCTGGTTGGTTGTCTGGTTGGGTTGCCTGGTTGGTTGTCTGGCTGGTTGCTTGTTTGGTTGCCTGGCTGCCTAGTTTGCTGCCTAGTTGGTTGCCTGTTTGTTGGTTGTCTGGTTGGTTGGTTGCTTGGTTGGTTGGTTGTTTGGTTGGTCGCTTGGTTGTTGCTTGGTTGGTTGCCTGGGTTGCCTGGCTGGTTGTCTGGCTGCTTGCTTGTCTGGTTGCCTGGTTGGTTGCCTGGTTGGTTGTCTGGCTGGGTTGTTCGGTTGCCTGGTTGGTTGCCTGGTTGGCTTTGGTCCCAGTGCTTATTTTCAAAAGAAGCCGCTTTTGCGGAATTTGTCCAGCCTCAGACTCGATGTTGCGGATGGGGCCCTGTTGCTGCAACAACATGTAGATTGGCCCAAGATAGCGCTCAGAAGCAGCGCTGCCTGCAGTCCACAGACACGCAGCAAAGAAAACCTGCAAGGCGCGTTTTGTGTAGCAAATTGAGGGAGACACTGCGCGGCCCGGTTTCGACATGGCCATGGAGATGATGAACGGCAGGAGGAGCCGAGGCCGGTCAGTTTCAACTCATGTTTTTTGAGGACTCGTTGTCGTCAG